AATTAGAATGTCGTTTTTGATTCATCCCTTACGCAGAGTAGCGTCACAAACCAAGATAACAAGTGGTTAAGTTTGCAAAAGACAAAAATTATCTTGGCATTTTTTTACTAAAGCCATTTTCCCATAATTTGCAATATGTATACTTCATTGGCTATTACAAAAATACAATTATACTTATTCCTAGGGAATAGGAGATATTTTTACCGGAATCGAACACCTATTACTAAAACTCTGGTTTCCTTTATTGACAGTATTTCTGACTACTTTAAAAACACATGACCGAAGCAGAACGAAAACCCATTCACCCAGTCAATTCAAACTCGAATTAAACTTCACACAGGGATTTCTACTCAGCCTGATCGGAACGGTCCGGAAAATAAATCACGTTTTCCTATTAGCATGCCATGTTTGCATCACCTTCGTAGCCAAAAATCCGCCAAGACCCGTTTTACGCTGCAGCAGTGCGAAGATAGCCCATGTAGGGGCACTGGGGGTAAGACAAACATTTATTGTCAATAAATACAGCGTTTTTTGTAATATCGCTGTTCTGTAGATTGTTAAACTTATGCTTAAAGAAACTTCATATACCAATATATGTTAAATCTTAATAAAAAAAACGTTTTTTTTATCAAAAATGGTCCTACACTTCATAACATTTTTTAGAAGTGGGTGAAACGGACAGGTGCTGGGGGTAAGACGAACAGGCTTGAAAATTCAATGTTTCTGTTTAGATCATAATGAGTACCCAAAAACGCATTTGCAACGTTGGAATACGTCCCGGATAACCCCGGGGGAGGAGGCCAACATATCCAAATCCAAAACTCACCATGTGATACATAAAGTCACATGAGCATTCATGAACTAGATCATTAGCGGTGACGGTGGTTCTCTTTTGTTCATGCATTCCCAATATTGCGTAAATGGTTGCCATAAATACTTTTCTCTGGATGATGGTGCTGTTTGGTAGGCATCGTTCAAATTCAGTGTGGGAGAAGAGAGAAAATCAATAATTCCAATAATTACAAGCCAGTAATCAAGAATTCACGTGACCATAGAGATAGTAAATATCAACCACCTTTGAAACTTTTATTTTAAAATTTTCTTGCTAATTCAATAAAACAGTTCATTAAAACGGCGGGAAATCCTGTTTAGGGGCGGGGCTTTGATAGTATTTTAATGCTGAGTATGTAAAAAAGGACGGACTTCGGATGTGAACCTAAGTGCATAAAAAAGGGTACGTACAAACAATTTTACCATTGCCAGGTACCCTACTCTGAAGTCTTTGAAAGGGATTTTTTAGATTTTTTACTGCACTGTCCTCTATTAACACCTAACGGAAAGCAGATGTCCCCACAAGCAATAGTAGTGACATCTGATGGCCTATTGGCGAATTTTGCATCACATCGGCCCAAGAGCAATTTTGTTTTATTTTGTTTCTATTATCACATTTTACTGCTCCCGTACGAAGTTGTGTAAAATGGATCAAATATCGTAAACTAAGAGTGGATGTGACAAAAACCCAATAATTCAATAGTTTAGCCGTCAAACAATCAACTTTCCGTCTTACCCACTGTTCCCCTAGGTACCTACTACCAACAACAGAACCGTTAGGATCATCTATCCTGGCACCCATTGCGATGCACGTTCTATTCTATAGCTGAATTCACTGCAATAGAGAATGGGAAAGTACACACAAGTATGTAGAAACAAGAAGATTGATACTGTGGAGCTCCGGCAAAGACACTGTATTTTATCTCCTTCGCGATGATTTTTTTACATTGGCTTATGGTAGACAAACATGTACTTTTGAGCAAAGCCCCGAAAGCTATATTTTATAGCGTGACACATTCCGTGACACTACAGCTTTCCGAAATGTTATTCTTCGCTTCGTCGAAGATTTCAACATGATTAAAAAATCTCATTATATGTTGACAAAGTTTTTCTTCCTGAAATTATGTTTACTCATCATATCATATGTATAGTCTTTGCGTTTAAAAAATAACTCAATAATTACGTCGATGAGAACTCAATCTACACCAGTGGTTCTACCAACAATCAATACGAAACTAACGATTTTAAATTGGCTCACTACTTGACTAGCCTACTTGTCCCAAGCAAATCGATTAACGTACCCCATTCCAGTCGAAATTCTAGTACTACACAATATTTGTTTTGATTCGCTATGAAAGACTGACAGATAAAATGAGGGGTTCGTGGATTTTCCTATGTTTCGAGGGGTACATCGATTAGCTTGGGACCGAAGATAGTACCAGAGCTGAGCCAAAAAGTTGAGCTCGATTCTTCGGGACCTTCTGGTCTTAGAGTTACCTCTATGCTGTGCCCCAAGGTTGTACAGACTGAGCTCTTAACTTTAGGCTACGGCCAACACACTCATGTCCGAAAAACCAAGTAGACCCGCAAAGAAATTTTGTTTCGTGGCTGGAGCGGGAATCATGCCCTCATTTCGTGGCACACACAATTTACCTGAACGACGCCGGTAGCCGCACGATCGTGAAACCCATAAAATTAAATGATTGAATACTGCCCATAAAAGCGTAACAATCCCATTTGGATGTTTGTCAAAAATGAATTATCCATAAGAATAGATTGAAAACTACCGGCATTTTACACTTTTCATTAAAAGTTACATGTTGCACGGTATTTCATACACACGCAAAATTCAGCATATTTGTAGTATTGTGTCAAAACTTCCGCTAAACTGATCATAACAGAACAAGGTTACAACATGTCAAAGTTGGCTAGTTTGTATGAAAATAGACCTTTGTTCGAATAATTTTGAAGCATAGTGTACATTAGGGAGGTTCAAAATATCGATTTTACTACACACAGTTCATTTTTTTCTAAATCAGGTTCTGATCATTCTCCAAAAATTTGTGCTCATTTGGTTGCAATCTCATACTGAAGTTTATATGGGAAAAGTCTTTTCTTTGTTCTCATCGTCCTAGCCTTTCACCATTATGATTAACGGGTTGGATACGCGTATTTCGTCCACTACTTGTAGACTTCTTCAGTGCCAAGTGCTCAAGCAGCACTCTTGATGCTTCAGTAGAGGACAAGGAAATAACTCAGGTTCAGGTTACCAAGACCTTCCGGACGGTGGGCAGATTAGTTGAGAATTCATTCACTACGCGGCGCTAGTAAACAAGTTAATATTTGTATCTAGGGGAAGTAGGAGCATAGTGAACAAGTGGGGTGGCCGTGGATTCCAATAAATTTGTCAATCATCCTTGCAATGGTGATACTGAACCTACTACCAACTAATTTGTTTTGAACAATTAGAGGTTTGGGACTGGAGGGCGAGATGCTCATTATGCCCCACCTGTTTATTATGCCCCTCTTACGCATGTCTATCTATCTAATATACACAGTTAGATTTTATTGCCGAGATTGGCACCACCGAGCAGGCTTGGCATTTATGTTTACTGAGATTTCAGCAAAATTTATGTTTGTTAGCCGAGATCTCGGTAAAATCCCCGTTTGTTAACTGAATCTAGGCAAATTTTTCACTGAGATCCGCCAAAATAGATTGCCGAGCTGCTTGGTGGTGCCCATCTTGGCAAAAAATCTAAGTGTGTACAGTTGTGTTCGATAAAATAGTAGCGCATGCCGATTTTCATACAAAATGGTCAACTTTGACATTATGTAACTTTGTTAACTTATGATCAATTGAACTACAAATATGATCAATTTTACGATTACAAAATATTAAATTTTTGGAAGCACCTGCCGGAAACTGAGACTCACTGAGACAGATTGTTCAAAATAATAGCAGTACTAATCATTTTCATCTCAGCTTAATTTTGAGATTTTAAATTATACATTTCTCAAAATTCTAACAATCCTCACCCAATTAACAAATGTGCATAATAGTTAAGAATGTTTAAAATATTTGCAGTACGTAAATTTTCAAATAAAAAACTTGTTCCTCGGTTTTTACGGTTAGGTGCCAACAAATAATGTAGGTGAAATGGCTCTAATGTTGGCCTATGGGCCCATCGCTTAAACGTTTTTGCTTAGTGAGCAGAATATCATGGGTTCAATCCCAAGCTCCTTCGCGTTATATGATCGTTAGGACATCAATTTAGCTTATTGTTTACCAAATCGAACCCTGCTGCAATCCCAACCCTCTTACCCAATATCCCAGTGATTCCTCATGGAAGTGCAGAGGTGTTCTCAAGCGAGTGTCACGTCAACACATTCCTACCCATTCCTTTCTTGACCCGCGTTCGGGCGCGGCCGGCGCTGGTATTGCCTAGTTTGAGATCACCTGTTTTTACACATTGAGCATGATTGCTAGTCCCAAGCATCGTCTATTGGTTCTCTGTGTAATTACAGCTGATCTGGCAATAACCGTGGCCGGTAAATCATGCTCATGCTCATTTGGGTAATCGCGAAGACAACAAATCAAGAAGACTGACGAGTTCCATTTTCTCATACGTACGCTATGAGACAGGTACAATCGCGTAGTTTGCCGCTCAAAGGTAAATGCTTCGAACGAATTTGATAGCAAAGATTACATCCTCAGAAGAAGGGTTTGTGTATTTGCTCATTTTTCTATGCGTTGCTTCTACCTTCACTCAAGCGCAGCGCCATTTTATCTGTCGCTTGCATTCTGGCAAAGTTTCCAGTCTTCTTGATTTGTTGTCTTCGGTAATCGATAGCTTGTGATAGCTTGTGATAGCTTTACGATGTATTATTTGGATAACAGACTATATTTTTTGAAGAATTTCTTATATATATTTAAAATTGGAGCAGTGGGACAGATATGCGTCCATTTTTGAAATGGACAAAACGACTTCACATTTTTTTTTTAATTTTTCTATAATAAACAGCATTTTTCAATAAAATATTTTAAAAATACGTATCGATTTATATCGTTAAACATCAGAACCTCAAAAAAGTCAAAATGTCACATGGGACAGTTATGCTTCCACCGGCAGTCAACGTGTCAACCAGAAAAACAATATTAATTACATTAGTTTAGAACATTTTATTTTGATAACAAAACGAACACAACTAAAGCTAAAAGTTTCTTTTCCCAAGCCCTCGCTTAAACTTTGAAGCAAACTGTTTTTCGCCGGCATCCCCTTGCACAGCCTTATGAGCTACATGTAATATTTCCCACATCATTTTGGCTTGCATCCTATTTCCCAGCAGCTCCACCAGCTCTTCCTCTGACTTTTTGAGCAGTTCCTTTAAGTTTTTACATTTCCTCGTCACCTTTCCAATGTTCTTTGAGTTGATTCCGGGTAACTTTATCAGAAAATCATGAATGTTCGGATTCGTTCGATCGACAATGTTGTCACCCTCTCCTGAACCACCAGCTTCGTCTGACCCGAGTAATGTCGCCACGTCTGGATCGGGCTCCTGTTTGCCTTGTTTCAACTCTTCGAACAGCTGGGCCGTGGCGTAGGGACTAGGAGACCACACCAGTTTTAGCTTCGGGAAATGAAGAGTCAACAGTTGCAATTTCTGCATAATGTCCCCATTGGAAGAACTCGAATCTCCGGACATCATGAAATGACGCTGCAAATGAAATGGCTTGTTCTGATCGAATTCGATCAACAGTATCGGCTTGGTGTAGCACCGAGTCATCTGGACGCACTGATTGTAAAGGCGACCGGAGTTGAGTGAACCGATCAGATCGGAGATTGATTTTCGCTCCACGCAAATCTCCGGCGTCAGAATGTAATCACCGATCTAGTGGCAATAAAATAAAATATTTATATCCCGATTAAATATATGAATAATGAATCTACCGTAATCGTCAGCGGCACCACTTCTATGCCTCGGCGATGAATCAAGCATGGTAAATCAGACCGAAACTCGCGCATGTCTACGATTATCCGAGGAGTTATTACGCTTTCCTCACTGACAGCCTGGCCACCGGCTTGCCTCGAGGAAAGCTCTTGCTTCTTTTGCAACATTGTGATGGTATCCTCCGATTTGCCATCCTGATATTCTGGAACTACCATTATCTGCAGAAAATAACCACAACATGAATGGTACGAATGACGCAAATGAAAAGAAATAGGTTACCCTTTTTGTGTCTATCAGCAATTCGAAGGCTTGCTTCTCTCTCCGCAATGACGTCAAGTAGGATTGTTCTTCAACCGTTTTAGAGTGGATGATTACAAACACTCGCACTCGGGCCAGCTCTTGCCGCTGCTGTCGCCCCTCGAACACTTCAATTTGTCGAATTGCCGTCACGTTGCTATGATACATGACAATGTAGCGGGGTTTGATCTCCTCCAAGGTTCTGTCCAGCGAAGTCATCCCGTTAATTTCGCTTTTGAACGTTTGAATGAATACTATCGGTTTGTTGCTGTCGGTCACAATCTTCGTTACATCCATATTCTCCATCTCAGGAAACGATTCGAATTCACCGCATTCCAGCTGCGTGACATCGAAGAGGTCATTTTCCTCGCCATCGTCCGAAACAGTTAGATTTGCATCGCCCTTTTGTGACATGGTAAGAATGTAAGAATCTCTAAAGCAATGATAATCTTCAACCTCATCCTTATCGAGAAGATCGGCTTCCATTTCGGACATTTTTGAATTTTCTCCTTCTTGTTCCTGTTGTTTCCGGGATTCCTCTTCAGCCGCCTCCGCACGACGCTTGGCAATCCTTGCTTTTAAGAAGTGGCCTTTTGCTACAATCGGTTTCTCTTCTACCGGTTTTTGCTTTGGTGCTGTTTTGCTGGGAGCCGGTTTCACGAAGGCTTCAATATTTTGCACATTGTAAGAACCTCGATCGTTGTCTTTATTCAAGTGCCGGTACGACTCGGCTAATTTTGATACGACCACGTCATTTTTTATTGCATTGTAGAAGAGATATTTTTCCGGACCTTGAGTCAGATATTGGTTCAACTGGTAGCATGTTCTCGCATCTTGGCACAGTATCAGAACCTTCACTTGCTGGCGAGTATATTTTTGACGTTCCTCTTTCTTACGAAGCTTTTTCGCCGTCTCTTTTATATCCGATGGTATTTCTTGACGAAGCACCTCGGTTAAAGCTTTCCACTTTGGACAGAGTTCTGGTTGAAATTCTGAAAAACAGGAACATTTTAATCACCCTATTCAAAACTCCAAATCGAATGGCTACCATCATTCTGATTGAAAACACGCTCCTTCGCGATATTGAACATTTTCTCAGCGGAGTCCAGAATCGTCCACCCAGAATTACTGAGAGCATATTCGGTAGAACGATACTTTCTCATCGTTGCGTAAAGCGTGACTGCATCATGATAGATTGTGGATCTGCAACAAAACGGTCGAAATACTAACATTCGAAACAAACTATGTAGATAGACTTACATCATTAAATTCCGAAGCACCTTAAGGTCTGCAACGATGAGCTTCGTTTGCGAGCTCAATTGATGCCAAATCGTATCCAACTGTACTTGTAATATTTTGTGGAACTTCTTCGTAACGCAATTTTCTACGGTCACTTCCTGCAGCTCAACGTTTCTGTTCAGGCTTTTGATGTTTTTGACCAGATGATTCATTATGTCCAAAATGTTCGTCTGCAACAAAATCATGTGCTGACTCATTGGAATCTGCATTTCCACGACGATGGGTTCGAAGGGTTTCAGTGATTTTTGAATGATGGCATGAAACCGTGGCCAAATGAACAATTCTTTAATAAACAAATTTCTCATCACTTTTTCGACATGCCCATAGCCATAGGCAAATGCTTCTACGTTTTTGGAAAATGCCTTGATGAAGCCGCTTTTGTTCTTTTGTCGATACAAACGGAGGGCGAAAGCCTCCTGGCAGGATTCGATAATTTCATGTGCTTTCACTACGAAAATCCCAGTAATGAGTTCAATAGGGATGCGGTTTTTCAACAGATCAACGACCAAAATTCTCGTACTGATGAACTGTATTCCTCCCTGCAGATAAACTCGTTCGCGTTCAACAGCATTGGTGGAGGACTCGTGGATGTGCCGAGTTCCAAGCTGAGATGTGTATAGCCGCTCTTCATAGTCTGAACAATTAACGACCAACACCAAGGTCGTCGGATCGCAAAAAATCTTCAGCAAATTGAGTAACACTTTTTCGTAACTGATACCTCTGAAAGATTAAATCATAACTGTAATTGAAATTCAACCATAGAATCAATTGATGTTTACTTAGCGCAAACCACCAAGGCATCCGAGTGGAGTAAATCGAAAAACATTTGTCGTTCATATTCCAACATTGAAACTCCTTCCGAAGCCAGAAATTCTTCAGCATCCACTAGCTCTCCCAATGCATTGTCCTCTTTCAGCTCTTCATCTTGCTGCGCATCCGCTTCCGCTTGGTCCGCGGTGCATGCCAATTCGGATTCAACATCCTCGTCTTCTTCCAGAAGACTCATTTTCAAGCTTCGGCACAATCAAATTTACATGAAAATACTCGAGATTTACTTTCTTCTTCTTCTTCTCTCTGTTTAGGTGTTTGGAAACACCACTCCGTTTGGCACAGCAAGAACCGCTATATCGCCAGCTTATCGAGATTTACTTAAAGAACACAGAATACCGGAAAGGCATCAAGACGATCAAGACGAGAATCAAACAAAACAAACCGAAAGACTTGCTGTCATAACAAGTATTGGGCGATCCGCCCCAGTAACCAACAAAACAGTATCACGCTGAAAATGTACCCCCCAAATTAGGATAAACCAGAGACGTTGAATAGAGACACGCATACACGGATAGAAATCTCCTTATACCTTTTGGCAAATTTCCATTGCTGATTAAATATTCATAAATTGTATAAGTCAACTAATAAGCAGACGCCTTGCAAAAAGTTAATAAAGATCATGTGTCAAATGAAATGTATAAGCGGTCACACATACCTTTTATGCATCTAATAGGACATATGTGGTTTGTCTTATGGAATGTATAAGCAACAATACGAAACTAACGATTTTAAATTGGCTCACCACTTTAGTAGCCTATTGGTCCCAAGCAAACGATTAACGTACCCTATTCTAGTTGAAATTCTATTACTACACTATGTTTGTTTTGATTCGCTATGAAAGTTTGACAGATAACATCAGGGGTGTGTGGATTCATGCAGAACATGCAGGGGTGAGTGAAATAGCTTGGGACTGCTTGGGACCGTTGTTCTGGTACTGAGTGAGCCAAAAATAATAATGATTTTCTTCGGGACCCAGTGGTCTTAGAGTTACCTCTATGGTATAAGGCTGATGCTTTGGCAAAAATGTATAAGTGAAACACATGAATTAAATAATTGATTTTCGTTTCGTGTAGACTGAAGCAAGAAGAACCAAACGAACCGTCAAACGCTGAACCAAACGAGCAAAGTAAATAAACATTATTGTTCGCTCAATTCGCCAGAAAGGAGTATTGTTCTCAATAATGAAAAAAGTATATAATTATTTTTACGAAATATTTGATATCTGTTATTTATTTATTTATTGTTGATTCAATTAAATCAGTGCTAACATTTGAAAACGGCACAAAAGCCATTTGTAAACAAATGGTTTATGGGCCCTTTACTCACTACTTGAAGTACACCCACGCGACACAACAGCAACATCGGGTAGGGGAAATTTTCCCCTTCCTGACGATGCTGTTGGTTTGCGTGGGCGTTCTTCGGGTAGCGAGTAAAGGGCCCACAAACCATTTGTTTACAAATGGCTTTTGCGCCGTTTTCAAATGTTAGCACTGAAATACAACATTTATTAGTGATAAAAACAATGTCGAATCGCAACGTTTTATTTAGTTTTATGGTAATAAAGATGATTGCACTGCAAGCACTGCACTGCAAGCACAAGCACTGCAAGCAAAACAGTTGTACATGACAAAAGTTATACTGTCATGGAGCGACTGTCATCTCTTGTTATCTTATTTTTGCAAAATGGTGCCGCGCACTGCATTTTTATTCAGTTCCGATCGAACGTTCACATTTTCTTAACAGCATTGCGTAACTGTATGAAAGTCACTTGAAGCCACTCGAAAAATTATGGTTGCCAGGGACATTGATAAAAGATCCCTCAAAAACCGTGCTGCTGTTTTGACAGAAATTTTCTTTGCGCATCTCTATCAACGTCTCTGGGATAAACGACTAACCCTATTCACTTTCTGAAATTATTGTGGAAGATAGAGTTGGTAAGGATGATAATGATTAAAACATATAAGTTGAGTCATGTAACGAAACGCTTAAATTGAGGAAAACCAATTTATCGTTCATGTGAACAAAATCTCACTATCGTTGCTTTGTGAGGATAAATCCCAAAACAGCTAGCAGCGCTGTGTAAAAGACGAGGTAAAATATGCGATATTCCTTCGGTATAAATATGGGCTACCTAAGCTTGCAGAAGGTATTCTTGTGACGAACGTTGAAGGTGACGGACAAGCAGCAGCAGCAGCAAAAGCAGCAGTAGCAGCAGCAGTAGTAGCAGCGGCAGCAGCAGTGAAGGCGTAGCAACCGAGATTCGTGTAGCCGTGACCGAGGCTGGAAACCTCGGTCCGGTCACGACAATTATTTGTAAACTTCATTGATAGCGCGCGTCGCCGTGCTCTCGGCCGTGCTAAACCCGTCCATGCATCATAAATATCAACTGGTGTTTTGACCGAGGGGGGCGACTCTATCTACGATGCAGGGAAAATTGTTTTTTGCTGTGCTTTGCTGCACACACGTTGAGTAGATAGAAAGAAGATTGATGACGATTCTGAAGATTTCCTGCAAAAATATTATGCGCGATGCAAGTAGATGCGAGAAATGAAAGAAGATTTTTCGAAGATTGATTCGTTAGTGTGAGATTTGTTGAGCATCTAGAATTGAGATTTAGATGTGTCGCCCCCTCGGTTTTGACCAAAAAAATTGTTATGGTTATTTTGCTTAAACACGGCGTTCGGGTATCATCCAAACCATTTGTGGAATAGTTCTATTATTTTGGGTATCATTCGTTTATGGTATTTGTATTAGGGTTACCATCTCTGTTATTCCTTCACTTTTCAATACAACAGGCGTCACACTATCTAGTGCATAAGAATGTCGTAGACAAAAAAATCATATTGTCATTCAATGATTATTTTCTAGGGGCAACCCACTCTAAACTTTAGTTCTAATATCAATTAAACATTTTTAAATCTGTCTTAAGTATTCTTAAGTGTTTTCAATCCTGGATAATTTTCATCGCAGTGACCGCTTGCTAGAGTAGTTGATTGTTATTGTAGCTTGAACGATTTATGACTTTTCGTCTCGAATTTAGTGGAATTGATACTAATTTTACCCTGTTTTAATTTAAATTATATGTGTAATCATGTTAATGGGTAAGTATTTTAAATTTATTTATGAAATAATGTAACAAAGTAAACCATTTTTCAGCAAACATTTGGAGCAGGCAGAATATTCATTGGATTGTTTTCATTCATCCGATCAGAATTACTGATTTATTCTAATAGTACGTTCAGACTACAGAGTTATAACAACAATCAATACGAAACTAACGATTTTAAATTGGCTCACTACTTGACTACACTGAAACAAAGATAATAGTTAGGAATACTATTTTGCAGAAAACACTTATTTTCAGTATAACTACGCTTAATACCGTTAAATCTACCATGATTTCAGTATAGTTGACTATAAATATAATCAAATTTACAACCATTCTGTCAAAACTACTATGCTGACTCAAACGTTATAGTAGTTTCGATAGAAAAATTAGTCAAATTAAATGAATTTCGTTTCTGCACAAATCTATTGGTGGGAGTATTTAATTTAAACCATCAATATAGTATTTTTGCCAATGGATTTTGTTTCTGTGTAGCCTATTGGTCCCAAGCAAATTGACTAACGTAGCCCATTCTAGTATAAATTCCAGTACTACACTATGTTTGTTTTGATTCGCTATGCAAGTTTGACAGATAAAATGAGGTGTTAGTGGATTTTCCTATGTTTCGAGGGGTGAATCGATTAGCTTGGGACCGAAGAAAGTACCAGAACTGAGCCAAAAAGTTGAGCTCGTTTCTTCGGGACCTTCTGGTCTTAGAGTTACCTCTATGGTTATAACATGTTATAGCGCTATCTTGATGGAGGTTTCTGTGTTGCAATTATTTGACAACCGTTATAACATGTTATACCTCTCCACACTGAAACAAAATCCATTGGCAAAAATACTATATTGATGGTTTAGATTAAATACCCTCACCTAGAGTCGGTGTATAATGAGTCACGCCAAGAGAAAAAACAGTTGAACTCGCATCACGGCTTTCGAAAGATTCCCTTTCTTTTAACTTGGCAACAGAGGACTTCAGCATAAACTTCAAATGACTTCTAGCGAGGAAAAAAATTAACGGCTGTAGTAAATCATTATATCAGTGATTTTGTCGAATTATCTTAAAGAAAAATAGTAGAAATTGTCATTACTGATCATTACAAAACGTATCGCATGACAAATGTAATGCTCACCGCGAGTATATGATCATTTCTTCGATTATATTTTATATTTAATTGCAATACCTTTCGTGGACCTTTCATAGCATCGTAATCCTTGTTTACTTTGTACGATAGGTAGCCGGTTTGACAGTTCAATAGGTAGACTTGGCTTCACTCTTGGCGTGACTCATTATACACCGACTCTACCCTCACCAATAGATTTTTGCAGAAAACAATTTCATTTCATTTTACTATTATTTCTATCAAAATTACTATGCATTTTAAGCAAGCATAGTAGCAAAGGGTGTCCACGATGAAATTGCCACACACAAAATTGATTCGCAAAATTCGAGTTTTCATCCGATTGCCATCAAATTTTCAGGGATTGAGAAATAACTATTAAACTTCATTTTACCATTTTACTCGTATTTTATTTACAGTCCATACGCAAATGCCCGCACCTTGGCCTTAACCCCGGCCATAAGATTCTGCACAACCTGTGAATCAACCGTTTTTTGCATGTAAACCCATACTTTCTTCAGTTCCTCGACTGTCTTCACTACCTTAGGTCGTTTAAGAAGGTGCTGCTTCATAATCGCCCAGTACTTCTCGATGGGGCGGAGCTCCGGAGTGTTGGGAGGGTTGAACATTTTCGGCACGAAATTGACCTTATTGTCCGCATACCACTTCAGCACGTCCTTGGAGTAGTGGCATGAGGCCAAATCCGGCCAGAAGATTGTTGGGACGTTGTGGGCCTTCAGGAGAGGAAGCAGCCGCTTCTGGAGGCACTCTTTTATGTACACCTGTCCGTTCATCGTGTCCTGGGTCACGAAAGGTGCACTCCGCTTCCCGCACGTGCAGATGGCTTGCCAAACCAGGAATTTGTTCGCAAATTTGGACATCTTCTGAGTGCGGACATGCTCCGGAACGCTGAACTTATCCTTGGCCGTGAAAAACAGGTTGCCGGGGATCTGTTTGAAGTCGGCCTTCACATATGTTTCGTCGTCCATGATGCAGCATTCAACTTTCGTCAGCATGTTGAGGTACAACTTCCTGGCACGGGTTTTGGCGGACTTGTTCTGCTTCTCGTCGCGATTAGGGGCCTTTTGTACCTTGAACGTTCGAAGCCCAGCCTTAGTTTTGGCCTTCTGGACAAAACTTCGGCTTAGGTGCAGCTTCTTAGCCACATCCCTAACGGAGGCGTTCGGATTTCGGTTGAAGGCCCCAACTACGCGGTTGTGATTTTTGGTGTTGTACGGAATACTTTTTCCTTCACTTCTGGGCTTCCGATCGGTGGTCAACCGTTCCTCGAACCGCTTAATCCCTCGCGACACCGTGGAATTCGCGATTCCCAACGTTTTAGCGATGGAACGATGCGAGAGATCCTTGTTCTCGTGATGAATGCGCAAGATTTTATCACGCACGAGCTGTTCTTTCGACTCCATTTCCGCGAGTTTTGATCACAGGACTTTAAAACTTGCAGGATGTAAATAATGCACTATGAACTAAATCCACCCAAATTTTCATTAAATTATACCCAACGGTTAAAAAGTTAGAGCAATTACATAGTGTGGCAATTTCATCGTGGACACCCTTTATTGCCAGAATCATAGTAAATTAGTTAACATTCATATTCAACTATACTGAATTCATAGTGGATTCAACAGCAATAAGCGTGGTTATATTGATAATAAGTGTTTTCTGCAAAATAGTATTCCTAACTATGGTCCTTGTTTCAGTGCAGTCTGTACAGCGTTTAACCAAAGATGAATACTAAGATGAAACTGTCGGAAGAAAAACTTTTACATTTTAATGGCCTCTTTCACGGCCCCTTTCATCCAATGAAATCAGAGATGTCCCATTTCTTAGTTACTCGATTAACAACTAATCCAAGGACAAACAGACATAACACATTGAATATTTCTCACTGTAAAACATCGTCGCTGAAACATTAGCGCCATCTGTTGAGTACACTGAGGTGGGTAGTACGCTGAACAGATGGCGGTAGTGTGTAAACGTCAAACGCAAGGAAATTTGACTATGCGCGCCACAGGTGGCGGTACTACCAACTACGATACTTTTAAATTAACCGTTAAATGCTTGTTCGATGAACAACTTACGAGTGTTATGTCTGTTTGTCTGTGACTAATCGATTTTTTTTGTTCGCTGTGCTGCCATTTTTCCACCAATGAGAGTGCAGCACATGTTAGAAACGATCGGTGATGATCCTCTGGAGATGTTAATGCTTAAAGCGGCATGATATAACCGATTACACATATTTTACTTTTCGGTTCGTTAATCTATTAATCGATTATTCGCATGAAAATCGGCCACCACTAGATGAATGTGAAACGTCATTTCAAATATAAGGACCGTACATAAATAATGATACAATTTGAAAGGGATCGGGGCTAATCACAAATTATGTCTCCACGGTAACTGAAATAAACACGAGTGTTCACCGGTTGGTTTAACCATAGAGGTAACTCTAAGACTAGTAGGTCCAGAAGAAACGTGCTCAACTTTTTGACTCAGCTCTGGTACTATCTTCGGTCCTAAGCTGATCGATTCACCCCTCGAAACATAGGAAAATCCACTAACCCCTCATTTTATCTGTCAAACTTTCATAGCGAATCAAAACAAACATTGTGTAGTACTACACAGAAAAAAAAGTTGTTGAATATTACATCCAAACTGCTGCAACCAGGTCAATCCATCGGTTGTGTAATATAACGTTGTACGATGTACATCGATTTTGCGAACAAAATTACATCTATTGATGTAATATTGTATCTGCTTTTTGCTATTACATCATTATTTCATACATCAGCTTGAATTACATTGATCGATATTACATTTTTTTTGCTGTGTAGAATTTTGACTAGAATGGGGTACGTTAATCGATTTGCTTGGGACCAATAGGCTAGTCAAGTAGTGAGTTAATTTAAAATCGTTAGTTTCGTATTGATTGTTGCTATCACCGTTGCTATACAAATTTAATTTGTTTGTTTATGTAATATCGTCTAGCATTTTTCAGCGAATATTTTCAAAGTACCAATTCTTGTAAGAAATCCTTATAATGCCTTACATGAAGTGATGGAGCGTTATCCCGATTATGGCTTCTATTTTGAGAACAAATTGAATGATGCCGCGCTACAAGCACTCAAACATACGTTACGGTTTAAACATAACTCTGTCGTGCGAATCTTCCACCCGTTCCTCGTTGATTTGAAATACAACATTGTATAATTGTTGGCTATTGACAGTGTGACACTAATGGCGGTAAGCTCCAACTCGGATTAACTTTTAATACCGTCCCTGTTTGGATGATATGCAAAGTGTTTGCATAGCATCGTGTTGAATAACTCTGATGTCGACATCAAAGCAGCCGGACATTCTTGATCGAGATTTAATCCGAGGATAATACCGATTCGAGCTTACCGCCATAACTGAAGTAATTTAGGCTGATCGGAGCTGAATTAGAAGTTGAAGAGACTTTCCACACCATTACCTTACTTTCAGGATCCTGAGAATCACATCTCATAACTTCCGCTGAAAGTGTTTATCTGAAAGTGGACAATAATTTCTCGTATTTAGAACCTTCGACGCTCTTATTCTAAACCATCGATCTTCAACCTGGGATTCGCGAACACCCACTGAACGTAAATCACATTAAAGGAATTAAGTGATGTAGCATATCCCCTTTTTGATAATGTTGGAATAGTTTAATCACTACTTCTATAAGCCCTAGGTTTTCAAATCGTGTACCGCGTATATGGGATCAGTGAGCATTCTTCACGTTCTGGATAATACCATAGAGGTAACTCTAAGACAAGTAGGTCCCGATGAAACGTGCTCAACTTTTTGGCTCAGCTCTTGTACTATCTTCGGTCCCAAGCTAATCGATTCACCCCTCGAAACATAGGAAAATCCGCTAATCCTTCATTTTATCTGTCAAACTTTCATAGTGAATCAAAACAAACATAGTGTAATACTGGAATTTATACTAGAATGGGGTACGTTAATCGATTTGCTCGGGACCAATAGGGTAGTCAAGTAGTGAGCAATTTAAAATCGATAGTTTCGTATTGATTGTTGGTATTACTCCTTTAAGAGATTGACAATCTTATGACATGATCAAGCAGCTGTTTAAGGATAAAATGCACAGAATTAGGCGTGGTCTTGGTACACTTTTGTTTACGAGTGGTGAGAATTGGTAGGGCCCTATTATGTAAGTCGAGTCGAGTGTCCCTTCAGGTCACTTCCCACTGCAACCAGATTGCACGTATATTTATTCAAAGTTGTTTCTGTGATATACAACACAAACAAACAAATCGTATAATAGAACGCAAAAAATGGCATAAAAGTCGTAAATTTGCCTTCTATAGAATTTAACTTGAACATGATGCGATGTATGTCATTCTTATATCCGATGTAGACTTAAACTGTAGCAATTTACGGTACTGCTTGTACATTGCTGGTGGTCTAATGTGGTATTACTTCTGTATTATCAAAATAGACCAGAAGTGACGATCGACGACGATAATAGTTTAAGTTTGGCTTGTGATATTAAAAATACCAAATGTGCGTGGGTTGATTTTCACGAATTTCTGTTAACGTTTATGAATTTTTATTTTCCTTTTATATCAATTTTTGATTGTGTTTAAGTCAATAAAAATTGTATTTTTATCATTTTCTTTCTGTTATTATATTTTGTTAATTCTTTATTACCATCTTATCCTACTACATCTATTGCTCGTTTCAAAACATTTCTTTTTCACTCCATAAATTGCCCGTGAGCCGCACGGTTTTTTTTTAATTTTGCTTTTGCGACGTACATCACGTGATCTGAAGACAACATGATCAAGGATTAGATGAAACACCTTTTTCTTTTCTTTAACATCGTTTTCGAAACTGCGAACTTTTTCATGTGCTGATTTATTTATTTTCTACCATTCTTAACGACCTAGTAATACTCTCATAAAACTAGTAGAAAATTGGACCATCAATTGAACGAAAAGTAAAAAAAATGGTTGCTATACTCCTCAGTCAAGATGGTTCTTTTATGGAGATTTATTACATTTTATTTTACTTTAATTGCATTCCTCATATTTTTAGCGCATTTGCAGATTAATCCGTTCCCGTTGTTCAATGTTCATATTGTTTCGGAAAACTACGACGTACATGATGTATATATGTCATACTTTTTACAAATCACCTGTTTATTTTGTCTTATGTTACAGTATTTAATAATATGCATATTAACATCATATACAGTTGTATGCTATTGGTTAGCATTTTTTATATGGGGTTCCAATTGCTAAATATAACTTATAACACATTGACTTGGTTGATTATGAATGAACTATGTACAAATGATAACGATGATGTACCCAATCCAAACCTTAGTGTTGAAATTAATCTCATGCTGGAAAAGGACTTTTCTTTCACAATATTGGTAAACGAACTACGAGTTTCTGGTTTTCTTGGATGACCATAAAAGTTGAATTGAGCAGCGAGTCATAGCAACAATTATCGAGTCTTCGTAACGAATTAACGGACTGCGTAAAGTAAACGTTTTCTCATCCGGACAGAAAAGACTAAACAGCAATACCGAAAAGCGCCATAATTTCACTCCTGCTGTAAAATAACCTCTTTTCGTCTACTGAGATGATATAGTAGTTTATCGTTCGTTTATAAAGTTGTTGCTTGTTCTATTAGCAAATTTGTTTTACATACTATGACGAGGAAAAAGTTTAAAATTTTACACGCAAATCGAATTTATGCTACTTTCCGGTACCTAGTCACTGGCAGACACAGTGACGAGTGCCTATTTCAACTGCCGTTTGTCGAAACAAATGACAGTTCGAATTGACCGTCGTCATTGTATAGGTACGCGTGACACTAGTAAATACATTAAGCAGGCTAGAAATCGTAAACAAATAAAAGTACATACCCAATTCATCCTAAAAAGTAGCAACATAGAGAAGGGATTTAGTCAGACCTTCCGTTTGCCACGTCAGAAGGAATATAAATTTAAACAGCCCAATGTAAATTATATTAAGTCTACAGGTGTTCACGTCTGAATATCTTTTTTTTTTTTTATTTCCTTTTTGGCTATTTAGCGAATTGCTTATTACTAACATGTCAACGCTGAACTAACATTGATTTTCAAAAAAAAAAAACTCCACTTTTGTATTCCCTACCATATCTGAGTCACAAATCTTTTATATCCATAATCGTTGTCATCTTACACTAAAGCCGCTTGCTCTGCATAAGGACATGCTGAGACATTTTTCTAACTCTGAAAGTTACACTTTACGTTTACTGTGTTCAATTTAAATATATATTTTTAATATTTTTACGTTATATCACAAATTATAATGTCACTAACTTAATAGCATATTATTTACGACCTCAATGTCTCAATGATCTGCTGCTTTTCCCTTTTTTGACGAGAGTTTCCTCCAGTCGCTTCTTCTTCTATCGAAAACACAATTTGTTAAGAAAGCAACCAGTTTTCAACTGCTTTCGTGTACAGTTTGCTTCGGTGGTATGCGGAGGATTTCGGTTGCCAAAACCCGTTGGGAACAGATGAAACCCGTACCGGAAAATAACAAGGAACCACTCTTACAGAGACTCTTCGAACGCAGCCATCAAATCACTTTGCATATTCATATCAATCTGTCCGGCCATCTGTCGAGAGGAAAGGGAAGCATTTAATGCATTAGTGTGTCTGAGCCAAGTCCAGGAATCGAAGGAAATCTTACCGCTTCTCGCCTGCGACGTTCCTGTTCTATTTTTCTAAGTTCAGCCCGTTTAGCAGCTGACCTGTCCAAATTATGCGGTGTGGTCGGAGTTGCTGGCGAAGGGCTTCCCTGGGGAGATGCTTTAATCTCTTCCACAACCCGGGTGGGTATTGGTTCCGCGACAACTTTCCTATAAGGGTAGCAAAATGTGTAATGTATTTTAATCGATCACAAATATCAACTAAATATAACATCTAGGTATTTAACAGACTATTAGCAATTCATGCTTGTATAATTTCTTTATTTAAATGCACTCAAAAATATTTGTTCGGCTTATTGTCAGTCTCAGTCAAGGTAGTAAGATCCAACCGGTACTATCCTCCGATCACGAATGTCAGGGTGCTTTTATGTTGACGGTGAGGTTAATCAACATGATCTTGCACAAACATTTGGCTGATCCTCCAAACAGGGCCACACAGCAAAAAAATAATTTTAATATCACATCGAAGTGGATGCACCTCAATCGTGTCGAAAATATGGTGTAATATTACTTGCCAAAAAGGACAAAATTATCATTAATACAGTGCATGAACTGACATTACGCTGCTTTTACTGCATTTGTTTATTGTTGTGGCCATAAACATTACATGCGCTTTTCGACATGATTGATGTGCATCCTCTTGGATGTAATATAAAATTTATTTTTTGCTGTGCAGTATTAAAAGTTAATCCGAGTTGGAGCTCACCGCCATCAGTGTACGAATCAACTTAGAATGATCTATTATTTCATGTTTGATCAGTACAGAGCTATTGTTTCGTCAAGAATAGGTTCACGAGTACAAATCTCATGTCGTTTGCGACAAATCTTACAAATAACACGGCCAAATCGATGCGATCTACGTCGATTTTGTAAAGGCTTTCGACAAAGTATCACATATGCTAGTAATTGAAAAAATGCCTAAAATCAAACCCCCGGAGTGAGTAACTACCTAGATTTACTGCTATTCATATTATTCATAAAAGACCTTTGACCTCGATATAGTACTTTATGATTTGACCCGTGTCAACATAATTAAAAATCTAGTTATTGTTATTAATAGCAACGCTAAAACGCTGTCCAGACTGGAGAGTTATAACATGTTATAACGGTTGTCCACTAATTGCAACACAGAAACCACCATCAAGATAGCGCTATAACATGTTATAACTCTGCAGTCTGAACGTACTATAACTGTGCCAGTGCGTAGAGCTGGGCCAGAGGCAAACAAACAAAGAATTGTGAGAATTTAAATGAAGACAGCATATCAAGAAGACTGTCAACTTTGTCATAGCTCAAGAGATAGATACAGTAGCGCTGCGCTTGGCCAAAGTGGAAGCAACACATATAAAAATAAGCACAAACACACATTTCAGCTTCCCTGAAATTCTCTGGACTTCTGTGAAGTTCCTGACCTATTTCTGAAGTTTTCATAGACTCTCTGAAGGTCTTTGTACTTCCTTGAAATTCTCGGAACATCTAAAGGGTTCTAAGTACATCATGGAACTCTCCTCAATTTTTCAAAACTCACGCTTATAGATCTTTAAACTGCACCAAAAGTCTGGATTAAAGTTACGGGAACTGTCCTTAAGATCTCTGAAATTCCCAAAAGATCTCTAGATCTAGAGTACTTAGAACTTCTTAGACTTTCTACAATTTTCCTCAAGTTCTTTATACTTCAGAAGTTCTCTTGACATCGGGACATGAGGTTCTTAAAGCTTCCAGTAAGTTTCCCATATTTTCAGGATGTTAATGTTTCCGCAGTTTGTTTATGAAGATTCACTGAAATTCTCAGCATTTACTTTCATTCCTTAGAACTTCTGTAAAGTTTCTACAATTGTTGTGAAGGATATGGGCCATCTTTCAAAAAGTAAAAAAAGATTTTCCCTTGATTCTGGCACTTTGGAAATTTTCAATACGTTGAACTTGAACATGGAATACGAAACTTCTAGACATTGAATATTTTGAAATCGTTGACTTCTAAAACTAAGTAAGTGTTAAACATCAACATTGAATGGATTTGATTGTAAAGCAGTTTCTTAAAATCCCTTAGAAATGTTTGCGTTAATTGCTGTTGTTGTTGCTGTTTTACAAAAAAAAAACATATTTTTAACGCATTTAAGAAATATCTTTCGTTTTATAAACTTGGAAATTATCCGTTAAAGTTCTGGAAAAACCTGAAAAACTCAGGGAATTATATTTAGCCAAATGAGTAGACACCCTGTAGAGAGAAAGACGATTCAACGTCAAAAAGCGCTATAGAAGCAAAACACATTCGAATTGTTCGAAAATTAGAACAAAATGCAGGCATCGATTGGACCATCAGATCCTACACACTTAATCTAGCTCGGTAAAATCTCCAACAGCCGATTACTTCGGCATTCACTTTTGCTGATACCTCTGCAAAATATCTGTTTGTTAGCTGATATCTCAGCAAAATGTTATTTGTTAGCTGAGACTCAGCAATTGTTTGACTGAATCTCAGCAAAATAAATTGCTGAATTACTCGGCTGTTGGAATCTCGGCGAAAAAATTTAAGTGTGTACGCACTGCAAGAAGAATGATCGATCTTGAAATAAATTCACACAAGAAAAGGTAACTTTAGTGACTTGGCCTTAAAAAATGAGACTTTTTAGTGACTGGCTTGAAAAAAGTGACCAATTCACTCAAAAGTGACTCGCTACCAGCCCTAGGATAATGAACTTTTGGCAATATTTCCAACACTGAAAGTGAATAAGATTTCATTTATTTCCCTAAAAAATGAAACCACTCTAACTTGAGTAAAACATTGTAAACAAAAATTCAAACGTCAATTTGTCGAAACTTTAAGCATCCCCACGCAAACTAACAACACCACCTTACTGGGAGAAACAATACGCTTTCTGGTGTTGCGTGGAAGTGCTAAGAGTTTCGATACATTCACGTTTGAATCTTAGTTTACAACAGCAGATAGGGTAAATGACGGCACTCCGGTGCACTTTCATATAGCTGTTCTTAATGTTCAAAGCTTTCTCTTGATATCTGATGTCTCGATTAAGTAATCGCAATTCGACCTCAAAAGCTGTCGTCTGTCAATATTATGTATTATATGCAGAGCCCAACCGAGAAAGCAACAGTTGGTAAACTTTAAATTTAGACTAATTTTACCCTCTCGTTGGTTTTTCCATTTACCATCATAAAGTCATATCAGGCGTTTGTAAATAAATGAAGAGTTCGAAAAGTGTTGATGTTGTTTAAAGTGAGTTTAGTAGGGTGAGATATTATAGCTTCTAAGAGCAACCGTACCAATTAGTAACTAAGGCACATTCACCAACCTCTACCATAATGCTACTTGCGTACCGGGGATTGCAATTCAGGTGGGGGAAATAGCAATCCGCCCCTTGGGAAGTAGTGAGTTCATAAATGTAGCATCAGACGGTTGCTATTTTGAATAAACGTCAAAAGTTTGTTTTGCCGGTGTGCAAAACGGTAACTTAAATTATGACTCTGATAGCAACGACTGGTGTGGAGAGGAGTGATTAAGCCAAAATGGAAACGCTGTGCGTAAGTAAAATAGTGCCGCAAATGGCAACGACTGGTACGGCTGCTCTAATGGGTAAATGCTTGGTTTGGGTTCGATCAGAATTTTCCCGAAATTTTATTTGAGTCGATAAGCACAGATTGGATGTTACAGTGCTATTTCGTTCAATTGGAGATAGATCTTGGAATTTTTGTTCGTACATAGAAAAATACGACGAGCATGTTTATTATAATATCGACTTACTTTGTGTGACTTTTTGTGTGCATATTTCGGAATGAACTTTTAAATTTTTCGGGCATGTTCGTGATTTTTTGTTCTCATTAAAATGCGGCTTTAGGAATGTCGCGGTTTTTACAAATGCGTTTTGAACAAGCATTTTTTAGCAGTAACACATCAATTTTGGTGGCACTCTTTTTTTTATTGGGTATCAAGCTGGAGCTGCGTGGCAGCTTTGTTTTTAAAATTTGACCCATTTGAATTAATTTTGCTTCTATCTTTGACAATACAACAGAAGGACTAGCCTATGTTGGCAGCTTGAACACTGGATTCCATGTATATTGTTTCAAGATAGTTATAGAAAAAATGCTGTGACGTGTGCGCGTAGATACATCCGCGTAGTAATCCAATTGAATAAGTAAATCCGTTTCGAACGAAATATCTAAATTATGTAAGTGCGAAACAATCGAAGCGAGAAAAAAAGGCTTATTATCATTTAAAGAGAGCCACCAAGATAAATGTGATATCAGACCGGTTGACACACTAAAGAAGTGTTATTTATTTATTTTTACTCGGATTTCGAATTCACGTGATTTTTAGAATTTACGCGGTTTGTGGTGGTTATTAGATTTGTTCATTACGCGGTGTTTTACATGCTTTTTATTTCTTCTTTAATGCGGATTTAATGCTCAATTTTTTTTCCATAACTATTTCGAAACAATACACACAAACACTGTTCAAAATTCCAGCATAGGTTTGACAGTCTATGTATTGTCGAAAGATAGAGGCAAAATTTATTCAAATTAGTCAAGTCTTGACACATAAGCTGTCAAGTAGCTCCGCTTTGATACCCTACACAACAACAAAAAAGTTTAGTGAATATTTAGTTATTTAGCTAAGATAGAACTACTCCCTTCTATGGTTATTAAAAAAAAAGAAAAAAATTGTACCTTCTTCGGATATTATTAAAAAAAGGAATACTCAATATATAGCTATGAATACCACCATCTTTTTTCAATGGATTCGTTAGGGTACCATTCGGGCTGATGTTGTACAAAATACTATCACGCTTGATAGAATCCACAAACGGCGCTATCGTTGCTGATTTTACAAGGCAATTTGTAAACAATGACAACGTCTATTTATCGATTCTACCAACCTTGTCCTTGACAGATTGAGACAACTTGAGGAGTTTTTCGTACGCGATTAACAGGCTCGTTTTCGCGAGGGCCGATCAACGACGGACCAAATGTTTAACCGGCGTCAATATCCTTGACAAATTTCGAGAATACAGCTTGCAGACTCACCATCTCTATATTAATTTCTTAACAGTGTACGATTCAGTGAAGAGAAATGAGATTTGACATAAGATTATACCAGAACATGGTTGTTCGGTTGAACTAATCAGATTGACTGATTCGTGCGGCGCTTGATGAATCGAAATCAAGTGTACGGGTTACAGATGAAATTTCGACCTTCCAGGGGTGGCAAATATCATTTTCCATGAAAAATATCACGCGATTTTTACAGTGATACTTCTGTCAAACGATCAAAGGAAATTTCTTCAAAATCTCATCGGTTTTTTTTTTCATGACGAAACGTGACAGTGGTTTGAACATAGGCACTCACTCTACCGATTACATTCATACTGTTGCTTGCCTAAATTCATCAAAATCAGTTAGAAAATTTAATGTAAACACCGTATGAGAATTATTCGCATGAGAGCTTGATAATTGGAAAATGACAAGACAGCTCATGATAGGTAGTATCGTCTCGTGATAGTGAGGGGACCTGTTTTTCCATTGCCACATGACGGCCGTGATATTTACCAACTCTGTATCATGACCTTCTTAAGTGGATTTACAGGTTTGCACGATTGCTTTTATTGACAATAATCTTATTGTCAATACATTCAATATTGTCTTCAATACATCGATATTGACAATATTTCTGTATTCACATCATCAATATTTTTGGATCAATATATTAATATTTGTGGAGTTCGCTTTAGGCGATGCAGTTTCGAGCTTTGCTTTTTCTTGAGGGAGCGATTAGGACAACGACAAGGATGGGCTCACGATTAACTGTTTATAGCTCATTTTGACAACCTTTTGAAGTTATTTTACTATGAACTCCAGTTGTTTTTACTAGCAATACATAGAACATAAAAACATGTTAAGGGCTGGTCATAAAGTACGTAGATATATACAGCTGAAGGTATGTTAGGGAGTGTGTATGGTCCATACAAATAGTTGAAAATTCGTATGAAAAACTGTCGCGCTAAAAAACCGTGTTCCTAGTTTATGGACAGACCCTTAATGTAATAATAATAATTATTGTTCAATTCTCGAGCAAATAGTGAATTCGACATAAGTGCTTTTGTAAACAATGGTTTCAAACTTCAATAATTTATCGAAACCGATAGCTCACCCATACAAACGAACACCAGCATAAGGTAGTACAGCCGCTTTTTTACAGTCTGGCGGAGAGAACTTCGGGAACCAATTGAGCTGTCAAATAGCGGAACCAATCGGATAAATCGCCCAGCAACAGAAAAAAAAAACTTATCAGCGAGCGATTCAAAACTCGCCTACACTGAACCAAACCCTCCATTTATAAAATGAAAAATCATTCAGTTGCATCCATTTTCAATGTTTCTGAAAACCGTATGACAAAATCAGTCGGATGATTTTCTATTCGGAAACATGTGATGCTCTTTTGATTGGTGAATGAATATTGACATGTTTTTGTATGTATTTCGTTAGTAATAAATAGGGGAAATGTATGTAATGGCGGCCTTATTGTCCTTAATTTGGGCCCATACATAAATTCAGCTATCGACTAAATTTTCAATAGCAACCAAAAATATCCATTAAAGCTCGATTCAAAGTAAATCTGGACGCATGGTTTAATACACCACCGCGCCCCTGGTGGCTGGAACAAAAAACGTTTGACAGGCATTTGTTGATGTTTCATTGACGAAGAAATTGGTGAAAAGTTTTTCTCGATTGATCGACGCATCCCGAAATTACGGATCATGGAACTTAAGAAAAGAAAATTAATTGTGCACAAACATCTAGAGAACCCCTCGTGGTCTGCCTCAAAAATAGCAAAAGTGTTAATATTCCCAAAGTCAACGGTGAGTCTTGTAATCAAACGTTACAAGGATACTCTGAGTGTGGATAGAGCACAGCGCATCTATCATAAAAGTGGCACTAGGGACAAAGAGCTGAGGAGAAAGGTGTTGACGTTGAGGTACGTGAAAAGCAACCCAGGTGTCCATACGTGATTTGAAATAAGATTCCAACTTTTCCACCGTACGTAACATCCTTTCAAGAGAAGGATATAAGTCTTTTTGTGCCAGTAAACATCCGAATCGCTCCCTGAAACAAAATTTAGTGGCCAAAAAGCGAGCACGATTACTATACGAACGAGTTTTGACGAAACATATGTCAAAATGGATTATAAACAAATTCCCGGACGAAAATTTTATCTGGCAACTGGTCGTGGGGATGTCATTACATTAAAAAGTGTCTGAAAAAGCGGATTTTACCCTTCATTCGGCAAAACAAGACCAACGTTATGTTTTGGCCGGATCTAGCCAGCTGCCACTACTCTAAGGAGGTAGTAGAATGGTTTGCTGCCAACAATGTTAATTTCGTCGCCAAAGAGATTAATCTTCCAAATTGCTCTGAGTTCAGACCGATCGAAAAGTATTGGGAAATTGTCAAGCGAAAACTTCGAGGATGCGGTAAAGAAGTGACAAATGCACAACACATGCGTTTAAAGTGGAATAAGTTCGCCGGTACAGTGTCACCAGCGACTGTGCAGATCACTTGAATGCGTCCAAATTTACTTTGAATCGAGCTTTAGTACCGTCCCAATGACGCGTTCATCTAGATACAATTGATAAATAGCAGATTTTTAGCGATGGGCCCAATCTTAGATCCATAGGCCAACATTAGAGCCATTTCCCCTATGTTAGATATAATGTAAAACATTCAGTATGGAAACGAATGGAATATCATTTGAGATAGCCCCATAACTAAAATCATTTGATTTCAACTATAAAATCTTTTATAACCGAAAAAATGGCAACACACGTTGTGTGAAAATTTGAGTGTAAAGTTGTTATATATTATCAAAGGTCTTAAGAGAATTGAAATGCTCAGATGTAAGTATACGTATCATTTTGCTAACCCACATGCTTTTAATGTTCAAGAATGTGAGCATTCGGAACGGTCAGTGCTACTGGATCGTCCAGAACATCGTGGTCGACCAATTGTACTAACGAGGCCAGAAGATAAGTTTCCTTCCAGATGCATTAGCACGATGAGACTATTGAAGTTTTCCTATTATTTACCAGGCCCCATAGCAACCTACGGATAAGTTTCCCAAGAGTCAGAGCAATCGCTCCTGTAATGACATCGTTGACAACTCCTGTTTACGAAGCCAACATCAATCTGCTGTATAAAAACTCAGTTTAAATCACAACTTGTAAATAATATAATCATAAATAAATTGTAAAATGACTTGATGTTGTGCACCTGATTTTCATCCGAAAATCGATCATATAATTTCAATTTAATAATTAGTTGAAAATACGATTATCCTTTGATTTTATGTGTGATTTATGTCTACTTTGGTTTTCGCAAATCGATCTAAAAACATTCATTATATGGATGATTGTCATTTGATTTATGCATATTCCAACCGATGATAAATCGAATGAAGATAAATCATCTGATAATAGTTATAGGGCTTGAGTCAGGCAATAATCATTCGATGCCAGAATAATGTTTTGGTTCAGTGTACGCAAAACAACAACATAATTCATCAACATGCCCTATTCCATGATGCTTTTAATTTACGTTCGGTTGGCAAGGAATGAAATATCTGAGTTTTGTTTATAAAATTTGAGTCCCTTATTATTTGTTGCTCGTCAATATCCTAAATAGTTTCCCAGTCTTGCTAGATGGAATTTCTCTCCACCAGACTATAAATATAGCGACTATATAAGGTAGAAGAAAATTTTCCCTTTCTGGTGGTGGTGTTAGTTTGTGTGGACGAGTAATCAGTTTAGATTAATTGACCTATCAATTAAAGCCATGGTTTACAAAAGTAGTTACGTAGAGTTGCCTATTTGCACTAGAATTTATGATTCAATTTCACAATCAATTTAGAATTTGGGTTTCCAGGTTAGAAAAAAGAAAACTGTCATTTAACCACATAACCGTGCTGCATCGAATCTTAGACTGTTCATCTAAAAAAACACAGCGTTTAAGATTGGATTCAGCACGGCGAATCCAGTACCAGCTATAATAGGCAACACTTACCGTCCGTTGTTGATTTCCTCCTGTTTGACCTTCTGTTGCTGTTCCTGCTGTCGTTTGAGTTGTTCCTTCTCGGCTTGTTCCTTCTGGGTGCGTTTCAGCTCCTGCTGTTGCAGTAACTTCTGCCGGTCAAGTTTTTCTTTCGCTTTATTCCTGAACGCCTGGAACATATCCATCGCTGGTTTCGGCTTGGCTGAGGTAGGAGTGCTCTGTGGTGACCCGGCTGATGCCAGTGAAGACCACGCATTTTTCAAACTTTGGTCATGCCCTGCCGACTTGAATGCATGCGACAAACTACCTTTTACGTCCGGAGGTGTGCCACTCATTTTTTTGTCACTAGGATTCATCAGCAGGTCTTCGATAGGTTTAGGTGTTAGCATAAATTTACCTTCTTCTTTCTTGGGAATCACTCCAGAGCTGGTACTACCTCCCGTTAAATCAATAGTGCGGTCAGTCAAATTTGGATTATTTTGGTAACTGGACGGGCGCATAAGGTTCTGCAGCGGATCGAACATAGGTATATTACCGAGCATCGGATTGCTATTCGCCATTGAATTCATTAGCATTTGACTCATACCAACACTAGTTGCGAGATTTCCCATGCCATTCAAAGGTCCATTGCCATTAAAATCATTGTTGAAGCCGTTATTAGAGTGGTGCATCTGGTTTTGTAAATGCGTCATTAACTCCAGCGGTGGCAGTAAATTTGCGTGGGCCTGCAGACTGCTAGCGGAAAGTTCCTGTTTCAGCGATGTCTGCAGGTCATTTAGTAGATTCAAACCTAACGCAGTTGTATCGTTCTTTTCAAAGGATGCCAAGGAGTGCTCTAGTGGATCGATAAAGCTAGCCAAACCATGCATCTGCGGGTTATTAGATGAAGTACGTCCCGTTGGTAATTGAAGCGGCATGTGTCCGGACTGATTCGCTTGCTGTTTTCCCATCTGCTGTTGAGTTTGTGGTTGAGGTAACTGCATATGCTGTTGCATGCCAGCACTAGCCATGTTGGCTAGGCTGTTAATTGCTGCTAGGCCTGCTGGTATCTGTGAAGTGGGTATGTTAAGCGCATTGCTCATACCGTTGGTATTACTGGACGATAAACCATTATTACTAGGCTGGCCCAGTTGCGTTTGAGATTGTTGTTGGTTGGGCTGTTGATGCGATTGCTGTGTAACATTGTTGATGTTATTCATACTATTACTGCTAGTAGACAACAAATTGGAAGGTAACATTGTTGTCGTATTTGGTGACGGCGTTGGCAATGGAACTTGGATGTTATTATTTTTATTGTTATTGCAATTGCTACTGTTACTAATAGTGTTATTCACAACACCACCGCTAGCGGGTAACGCTGCTGGTAGTCCTTGATGTGACGATTGTTGAGATGTTTGCGACAGTATGGGGGTGGGCTGTGTCGTCGTAGTGGTTGAAGTTTGTGCTTGTGGGGTAGTTTGAGTGGGCGCCGAAGTTGGGTTTACACTCGGGATGCTTGGAGTACTAGGACCAGCCGGTATCGTTGTCGTTAAAGCTGCCGGAGTCGATGAAGGAACTACTACAGATGGGATTGGGTTCAGGGGCGTCAGTTGGGGAGCGATGGATGCAGATGTAGTCGGCGCAGTGTTAGGAAGGGACGAGATGCTGTTAGGAACGGTGGATGGCACCGACGACGCCGTAATGTTCTGAGCTGTAACGGTCGTGGCATTCGTCGAAGATGTTGCAGGTGTAGTCTGTTAACGATGGGAATAAAACAATTTTAAAAAAACGAGCAAATTAGTGAATGCATGGTTAGCAACTAACTAAATGAAATCTATTATCATTAAAAGATTATGAACATTAAGAAAAATAATCCACTTTGAGTAGAACATTGAACTTCCTCTTTTTTGTGGCGATCATACTGAAACGGATCGTTTTTCTCAACAGTGTACTTTTGGAAATATAATTGCTATTATTCCATGAGTTTATATCTAAGCCAGTTAGATGTTGAAGTAAATCGTACTACAGGGTATAATGAAGAAGAATACACACTGAGATTATTTTACTGGAGTCACACGGACGATGAAACCGACTCAAAAGTGAGTTGAATTCAACTCAATTTTGTCAAAAGTGGATTTACTCACAAAGTAAGTAAAATTTTACAAGCTTTTCATGAAAAACTTCTCGAATATGAAGAAAATCGATGAAAATTTTACCCTGTCTAGGAGTATACTAATAGACTGAGTGAACCATCTCAAATTTCCTCCCATTCGTGAAGTTTTTCCTTGAAAACCTCGGCAAATTTTACTCACTTTGTGAGCAAATCCACTTTTGACCAAAGTGGGCTGAATTCAATTCACATTTGAGTTGGTTTCATCGTCGGTGCAGTAATGTTTACGGGTTATTGAATTGCTGAAAATGTCGGTTAAATTTCAAGTGATCAGTACTTCTTATAGATCAATAAAAATTACATGTTTTATTGTTTATCATGAAATTACACAGCGTCAGGATTAATGTTTATATTTTTTAAATATTTAACAAATATCAAAATATTACCGAACAGTTCCGCAATTCAAACATATTAATTGGGTAACTAAAAAGAGGATTTTGATTATTGTGTATAAAACAAAGGCTCACGACAACCTACAAAAAGGGTATTTTTGGGTAAGAATCAAATATAACATTTTATTTAAAAAAAATGCCCAAAATCTCAAAAAATAAAGGACTTGCAAAGCTACTATCTTCATAGAAGAGTTGCTCAAAATAACCTTCTTCCAAAAAATTGCCAGACGGTTTTATAAATTTAGCCCCAATACCACTAACCCGAACGTTTTTTTTTTTTTTTTTTTATCTTGATTTTAAGCCGTCGAACCCGAATGTAACACTTGCCCGAAAATAATAAATTTAAAAGATGTTTCCTTCTTTTAAACATGAGTTGTTTTTTCGGGTTGTACGGTACTGCAAATGGAGCTTTAATTCGAGATTTTAAAATGGACTTTGGGAAAATTTGTGAGTTCTAGGATTGGAAAGTTTGATTATATATCAGAATCTAATAATTTATAGAAGATTTTTCCTTCTGTTAAACATTAGCAGTTGTTACGAGAAATTTGGTATATTTTTGAATGTTTGGTGAAAAATAGAATTAATTTAAGAATTTCAGAAATGTTGATTTAAATATAAATACTAAGTTCGAAATTAGACAATTCAAACGATTCCAGCGACGTTCGGGAAAATGTTATAAAACCCTTTCATATTCCGTTGAAGTACTACAACAGCCCATGGAAAGAAGGCAAAAGAGCTGTTTATGGGTAAGTAGTTTTTTTTTGCGCATTTATGCCAAACGGAAGTTATGCCAAATGTGCATGATGTCAACTAGCACCGTGTGTCACCTAGAAATTATTTTAATAAACTTGTAATCTATAGCATTTCTAGACTCATTCTTCAAATCGTTCAATGACAGATTCACTTAAATTATTTCCGGTGTATATAATAACTCAATAGGGTGGTTCAAATTATTTATTTTGTTTGAGTATCATTTCAACATTTGATTTAGTTGCTACCTGTAACTGTACTGCGTTGGATCTTTGAAGTTCATATTGAATTCTCACTATGGGAAAAGTATAAATTTACTTTTCCCATGGTCCTCGTATCCTCGTCCTAACATTAAATGCTCTCTAAAACCTGCTATACGGGTAAACTATATCAAATTGACTGCTCTTCGACATTATGCACTCCAATACAGACTTAATTTGGCTTGAAAGGTTTCCTAATAAAAAATCATCCGATGGAATATTCCCCCTATTCTGCGAGACACGTGTGAGGTGACTCTCCATTTGATTTGTACGGAGAGTCACCACACCGGTTACAGAGAGTTACGTGACTCATAAATCCCCCTTAAAGATGCAGTTTTCGAATTCTTTGATGGTGAGGTATGAGAGTGGTTTACCCCGAATAGTACATTACCCCGAAAAACATTATTCCGAATCAACCAGAACCCCAAACACGGGTCTATCGTGTTTGGCATAAAGTTTTTTGGCATTATTTTTGAAAAAATGGTACTTCAAGCTGTCAGTGGACTGTAACAACATTTTTTTTAATCCGTATTTTTACAACATTTTAAATATATACTGTGCGACAAATGTATGATATATAGTTCCCAGAATGGTCCAATTCCTGAAATGCAATTTCCCGGAAAACCAGTTTTACTACTTTACGGGAAGCATTACATTCTGAGAAATGCCATATATATGCCGGGTAATTACATCCTATTAATACTTTAACTATTCATGTTTGTATTAATTCTGCATAGTTGAAGATGCAAAGTTTCAAATAGCAGACTTAAAGTGGTAATTTTATACGATAAATGAGGAGATGAAAGTTGACGTGGGGGATACCCCTCACCATCCCTCTCCAACTGGGGAGTTTTATAAATAGAGATGATCAACCCGATTCGTACCTTCCTCAAAACTGTCGTTGCTCGCTTTCTACTCTATATATACAATTTTCACAGCCGTACTCAACGGAACTATCAACTCTATACTTTTATCTCCTCGTCTATCTATAAAATGACCACTTTAAGTCTGGTATTTGAAACTTGGCATCTTCAACTATCTTACTAATACTATTGAGATGCCAAATAGAGGTAAAATTTACTGTTATTGTTGTACAGTATTAAAATAACACTTTTTTACGGCATTATGCCAAACGGGATAGACCTCCAAATATCACCACCTCGAATGTTTGAATGTGCTTGAATTTCAGATCTTATGAACACAGAAACACAGACGCAATTTTAGCAATCCAACTGAAATACTCAAATGATATTTCCCTCTCCTCTCTTGGAGTTGACTGTTTCGTTAGACATATGATCAGTTCGAAAGCCAATTCCGGAGAACTTTGAGATTTGGGCGTAATTTCTTTTGTAAACAAACACGTATATCGCCGATTTCTCATCAATTGAAACTCAATCTCGCGAAAAAAAAAACCATACCAAATGATGGAGGAATCATTTATCTACCTGTTCGTGCCGTTAATTTTTTAGATTGAGCTTTAATTTGCGAGAAATCGGCGATTTACCTGTTTGTTTAAAAAAGCAATTACGCCCTAATCTCAAAGTTCTCCGGAATGCGCGGTTTTGGAAATGACTTTTTTTAAACATGAGCTGTCCTTTGCTACACTAAATCGATTTAACAAGCCGACTGAAATGCTCAATAGTTATGTACCTCTCTTGAAGTTGACTCCTGATAGGTGTTCTTCGACAATTAAAAGCTATTTAAAATCGAACTGAAATGCTCAAAGGCCATTTCTCTTTTTTTCAGAAATGATTCTTACTGTAACACGTGTTCTTTGAAAATCGAATAAACAATCCGACTGAAATGCCCGAAAGTCATTTATCTGTGTCTTCGAGTTGACTCCTTCTGCAAAACATGGCAGACAAAAGACTGAAATGGTCAAAAGTTATATTTCTCTCTTTTATATCATGAACTGTCCTTTGACATATACAATCGATTGAGCAATCTCAAAAGTTGTCCACAATGAAAATTTAGTAGGAAAGATACGCTTAAGCCTGAAATAGAAACTTTAGAAAAAAGAAAAAACAAGTATCTTCGACAAAGTTGTTGGTTACAATCAGGCCTTCCTTATTTTCAATGAAATCGAGCATCAAAAACATTCTTATTTTCAAAAATAGAGGCACACATTCTTGAACAACGTTTTTGCTTAGTAAACTTTAATAAACTTTGCTAAAAAACAAATCTGTCAATTAAGAGCACTTTTCCGTAATTCACCTTCGAGTGTCTCTGGAAAAAAATCAGACAAAAATGTTGCTGCTGAGAGCTTGATGATATAACGATCAATAGTTATTGATGTTTTTCTTCAAAATTCATGAATTATAATTTTGATTTCTCCGTTTAGTTATTAACTATTAATATTGGAAAATACAAAAAAAATATAGAAATGGCGATCAATTCGTATCGGCATCAAAAATTGCCCTTTGCTTATTTTCAACTTCTATACCAAAATTTTCTCGCTGCCGTACCCTAAGCTATTAATCCTGTACTTCTATCACTTTCTCTAGTATAAAAAATCATCTTAAATCTGATATTGACATTAATAAAGTACAGTACTGGACAAAATAAATCATACGCTCAACCCATAAAAGTACATTACATCATATTTTTGCTATTTTGCACGCAATTTCAATAGTATATTATTATAATATATGCTCACTTTTGTGCTTGGACAAAATAAATCATACACTCCTAAGATTTTATTTTTTAGCCATCGAATAAAAACAAAATCTGAAGATTTGGCATCACGGCGTAATATTTGACAGTTCTTGTTCCGGGAAGCGTGCGCATCGCACCATTGTGTTTTGTTTGCGTTATTTGAAAAGTGAAAAATGTCGGGAAAGCAGATTTCGCTCGATGTTAGAAATTTGGTGATTCGCGATCGTGAAAAAGGAATTTCTTTTTGGAAAATTCCCGAAAAGTACTCGATCTCAGTTGGAGCTGTTCAGCACATATGGACAAAAGTACGAAACACGAGGAATTGTGAGGACAAGGACGTCATCGTGCGACAAGTAATCGTGATGACATCAGAATTGTTCGAATGGCTAAGCAAAATCCGAAGTATTCGTCGAGGCATATTGTGGAATCGATGGATCTCCATGTATGTCGACGTACTGTTTGCCGGCGACTTAATGAGAGCGGTTTGAAAAGCTGTTTGGCTTCGAAGCGTCCATTTATCAACAAGC